ATGATAAAATGGGCACAAAATCTAGGTCATAACATAGAATTAGCTCAGTGGTCGCAAATCTGGAAAAGGAAAACAATTACGAGAGCAACAACATATAAAGAAAACATCTACAAGATGTTCCACAGATGGTGGATATCCAGTCTAAAATGGACCCAAAATGTCCCAACACTCGTTTGGAAATGCCAAACTAAAACAGGGACTTTCTTTCATATGTGGTGGCAATGCGAAAAGGCAAAAAGGTTTTGGGTGGGGGTGCATGAAAGAATCCAAAAAACCTTAAAAATTCCTATATCCTTTATTCCAGAAATATTTCTGTTAAACATAATACCAGAGAAATGTGAAAAAAAATGATTTATATTTTATATTGCATGTGGTAACTGCTGCCAGACGTTTTAGAAGACAACAGAATTGCCATTGAAGAAAGATATTGTTAACAAAATACTTCAAGTAGCAGAAAATGATAAACCTTCATGACGTTGAAAGGACCGAGCATAAGAAATCTATGAAAATACCTGGGCCAAGTTCCACAGTTGGATTGGAAATGATGATAAATTGAAAACGGCGACTAATTAAAACCCGAGAAAAGATATGATTAAAAACGTTCTACCCTGCATGAAGGAGCTGTGGTGGCTCAAGTGGTTAAGACGCTGAACTGCAGGCTGTGGAAGGGCAGTAGTTCAGCAGTTCGAGACCCGGATGCCGCATGATGGAGTGAGCTCCCGTCTCTAGTTCCAACTCCTGCCAGCCTAGCAGTTCGAAAGCAAGAAATTGCAAGTAGATAGGTACCACTTCGGTGGGAAGGGAACAGCGTTCCGTGAGCCTTGTGTTTAGTCATGCCGGCCACATAACCACGGAAACGTCTTTGGACAGCGCTGGCTCTTCGGCTTTGAAACGGAGATGAGCACCGCAACCCTAGAGTCGGATTCGACTAGCTTTCGAGCAAGGGAACCTTTACCTTTACCTTTTTTACCCTGCATAAAAGAGAAGATGAACGGTATTGACAACACAAAATTCTTGGACAAGATATGAAACGTTCGCCCCAATTTTTTTTTTTATGTTTACTTTTTGTATGTCTATCTGTATATACTTAATAAAGAAATATTATTAAAGAAAAAATATGAAATCGCGGCTAACCTTTTCCCTCCCAGACTGAAACCGTTTATGACTAACTAAAAACCAAGAGCAGTAATCAAAGAAGAGTACATTAAATACCAGGATGGTGAATGTGCAACCTCTATTGAAGTAAGAATGGAGGCAGGCACACCTTTGGCAAGCAAGAGGCATCGCTCTAGAAAGAGCGGGAAACACGGACAAAACTCACGAATACCAGCGCGAAGGCACAGATGAACACATCATTTCTTGGGCATGCTGAAACAAGTACATTCGCAGACTTCCAGACGTTAATTCCATCCCCCAAAAAACTTTAAATGATATTACGGGAAGCGTCAAGCGACTAAGCTGTCCTGTCTTAAGACATTTACAAGCCTTTCAATAAAAAATATTTCCCAAGCTAAGCTCTGAAATTGTTTTCAATATAACATCTAAGCCATCAAAGCCCTGGAGTATTTGTCACTCTATTAACAGCTACTGGCTATGGCCAGGAACCTCCCACAACCGGAAAATTTCTTTGTTGGTGACCGCCATTTTAATATTTATGATGATGTTTTAAATTTGAATTATTATTTTTTTTGTATTTTAGATAAATGAAGTGTTGTTACCTGCCCTGAAGCGTATAGGAATTTTTTGGATTCTTTCGTGCATCGCCACCCAAAACTTTTTTGCCTTTTCGCATTGCCACCACATATGAAAGAAAGACCCTGTTTTAGTTTGGCATTTCCAAGTATTGGGACATTTTGGGTCCATTTTAGACAGGATATCCGTGGTGAGGTACCATCTGTGGAACATCTTGTAGATGTTTTCTTTATATGTTGTGAAGAAATAAAAATAAATAAATGAACGATTCGATGTTCTTATATATTTATTTGTTTCACTGTGTTTCCCCCTGGAATTGAATCCAAACAAATGGTGACCACATAAACCAAGCTTGTTATCCCTTTACACATCGATCTCCAATTTTGACACATTTATTTGTTTCACTGTGTTTTCCCCTGGAATTGAATCCAAACAAATGGCAACCACCGAAATCAAGCTGGTTATTCCTATTTGGTCCCTGTGACTGTTAAACATCTTTTATTATGATGTATGCTAATTTGCTGCTCACCCTCAGACTATATGTATGCACTGGCAACGTTCCATTTCACTGTACCTGAAGAAGCGTGCGTGCACACAAAAGCTTACACCTTGAAGAAAACTTTATTGATCTTAAAGGTGCCGCTGGACTCGAATTTTGTTCTGCTGCTCCAGAACGACACAGCTACCCACCTAAATCCATCTCCATGCTGGAATAATGTTGGTGGTCACTAGGTTGCCAACCTCCAGGCAGCACCTGGAGATCCCCCCGCTGTTACAATTGGTCTCCAGATCACCAAGTTCAGTTTCTCCTGGAGAAAATGACCGCTTTGGAGGATGGATTGTAGAGCATTGTACCCTACTGGGGTCCCTCCCCAAACCGCACCGTCCCCAAGGTCCACTCCACCCCTTCCCCCAAATCTCCATGTATTTCCTAACTCAGAGCTTGCAACCAATGCTCTCTCTAAGCCTGTGGAGTCTTGTGAACGAGAGATTTGGCTACTGCATAAATCGGTGGGCGCTGGAGCCCTCCTTCCTGAGCGAAGACAAAAATGTGTGAGCTGGAGGCTAAAGAACTGTGAGCTAGCTCACACTCACTCAGCTTAGCGGGAACACTGCTTGCAACCCGAGTTAAAAGCACCACCGGACTTCTGTTTTGCCGGAATAGCTTACCACAGCTGCCCGCCCACCCCCACCCCCTGGGAAAATCTGGCCACAGATCTCCCCAGAACTTTACTTGGATTGATACCCCCTTCTTCACTCGGGAGTCTCAGAGTAGTTTACAAACTCCTTTCCCTTCCCCACAACAGACACCCTGAGAGGTAGGCGGGGCTGAGAGAGCTCTTTCCAGAACTGCTCTTGAGAGAACAGCTCTGACAGAACTATGGCTTGCCCAAGGTCACCCAGCAGCTGCATGTGGAGGCGTGGGGAATCAAACCCGCTTCTCCCAGATTAGTGTCCGTGCTCCTAACCACTACACTACAATATTATTGAAATTATTATGGTGATTGGTTTATTTGATTGATATCCCGCCCTCCCCGCGGCTTGCATAAAATGTGACAAGTAAAACCAACAACGATCAATAGAAGCTCTAAAAACAAGCCTTAAAGCACCAGTATCCGTTTATACGGCGATGGCGAGGTAGTAATAGCAGCAGACATACTAAAAAGAAATACAGTCAGCCAATGCTCCCCCTAAGCTGTGGAGTTTTGTGAGCCAAAATCCTACTTTGTGAGCCACCCGGCATTAAAGGCCAGGGTCTAGCCTACCTGAGCCTTTCCCCACATGCTCCCCCAAGAGCACTACGGTCGGGGCCCCAAAATCTCTTGGGTCATCCCCAAGGACACCAAACTGGCTGCGACCAGGGCCAGGGCTTTTTCGGTGGCGGCCCCTACCTGGTGGAACGAGCTCCCGGGGGAGATCCGGGCCCTGCGGGACCTCATGCAGTTCCGCAGGGCCTGCAAGACGGAGCTCTTCCGCCAGGCCTTTGAGCAGGAGCCGCCGCCCCACTACCCCACCACCGTCGTGGTTCCTTAAAGGATGTACCGACGAGGGCCTGAGGAAGAACCTGGACGATGTAAAGAAGAGCTAACAAGCCGTCTCCATTGGACACAAATATCATGCAGTGCTGGATTTATGCATAAACTAAATAAGCTACAGCTTAGGGCCTCGCAATCTGCTGGGGCCTCAAATAAAAACACAATATAAAAATGATTTCAAATATTAAAAAGGCGTATATATTTTAAATTTTTCTGAGACCAACTGATGTAATTTAAAACAGTAGGGGGCCTCTGGGTGTTGTATAGCTTAGGGCCTCAGCAAGTCTAAATCCGGACCTGATATCATGGGAGTACCACCTGGAACCGTGTTGATTGCATCTTGGACGTATGAGATCAGTAATTGGATTGAGCACCCTTGTTTTAAGCGTTGGATGTTTTCATTATGTTTTATATGTTTTAACTATGGCACGGCTAATCACCTTGCCCTTGTTAGCCGCCCTGAGCCCATCGGGGAGGGCGGGATACAAATGTGAAAAACAAACGAATAAATAAATAAAGCTGTGAGCGAGCGATTTGGCGGCTGCATCAATTAGTTTGCTCTGGAGCCCTCCTTCCTGAGCTGAGACGAAAACGGGTGAGCCGGAGGCTTAAAAACTGTGAGCTGGCTCACACTAACGCAGCTCAGAGGGAACACACGGGTCAGCGGCTGTTATTGCACTTTAGGCTCTTGATGGTGGCATGTAGGACCCGGTTTTAGTTGCCGGACTGCGGCTCCTTAACGAAAAGCCCGGCGGCCTCCTACGACTTAACACGCGAAGGCACACCCATGTCTCGCCCCCGCCCCGTCTGAACGCTGCCCCAAGCTCTCTTAAAAGAATGGCAAATTACGCTGAACTGCAGGCTGTGGAAGGTCCTTACACTTTAGGCTCTTGATGGTGGCATTGAGCACCAGGTCTTAGTTGCCGGACGCGGCTCCTTAACGAAAAGCCCGAGGGTGCCGCATGACGGAGTGAGCTCCCGTCTCTAGTTCCAGCTCCTGCCAACCTAGCAGTTCGAAAGCAAGAAATTGCAAGTAGATAAATAGGTTCCCCTTCGGTGGGAAGGGAACAGCGTTCCGTGCGCCTCGGTGTTTAGCCATGCCGGCCACAGGACCACGGAAACGTCTTCGGACAGCGCTGGCTCTTCGGCTTGGAAACGGAGATGAGCACCGCAACCGTAGAGTCGGATTCGACTGGCTTTCGAGCAAGGGAACCTTTACCTTTACCTTTAGGAGGGGGGGAAAGATGAGCTCTCGGGGGTGGGGTGGATTACCTGCATGGCGAGCGGATTCCGTTAACGCCGCATCCCAGAAACGAATGTTTTCTTTCGAATGCAATTCCGGACGGCGGCGGGGAGGGGGAAACGACCGAAACTCGAGGGCAGCCGCTGCAGATCAGTTTCATTTTCTGCTGGTGACGACGGCAGGGGAGGGGAAGCGGCGGGAGGAGGGGCTTGCGAGGGATTTGCTCCAAGGGCCATCAGGAGGAGGAGGAGGAGTCGGCTATAGAGGGTGGTGCTCTGGTCTGCGCGTATCCCCGGGCGTGTTGGCTCGGGCGCAAAGGTCGTCTCCCCGCAGAAACCGAGCAGATGGCTTCCCTTGCGTTGCACCGTTTCAAGCTAGGCAGGGGCGGTTGCAAACAGCAGGCTTCGGTGACCCGCCCCCCTCCCTTTAAAAAAACAACCCTTGCAGGGAGAAAAGTAGGGTGTCAGGGCAAAAGGGGAGGGGCATGCTTGGCGGAGAAGAAGAAGGCCTCCCAGCTTTCAGGTCACTCCGGCGGCGATCGCTTTCAATGTGTAGGAAATGAGCTCATCGAAATTAGTTCGGCAGTTAGTATCTCCGCCCAAAAGCTGGCGACTGATTCCTGGTGGCCTAGCTGTCTGCGTGCAGGGAGTTTGTTTGGGAAAGGATTTCAGTCCCCGCCTGAAAGATGGTTTGGTATCTAACTGCTTCCTGATGTTCTAGTTTTCTCCAAGCGAGGAGCTGCTTTGGGGGTCTGTTTCAGTCTTAATGCCGAGCTAGGCTATTGGCTGCTTACTGATAGTCAAGCTTTCTCCCTGCAGGGAGTTTCTGGGCTTGAGGAACTATTTCCGTCTCAGCCCACAAGCTGGCCTATGTTGTTGGCTGCTGCCTGACAGTCTAGTTTTCTACATGCAGGGAGTTTGCTTGTGAAACTATTTCAGTCTCATCTCTAAAGCAGACCTAGGCTATTGACTGCTTCTTGATAGCCCAGTTGTCTACATGCAAGGAGTTTGCTTGTGAGACTATTTCAGTCCCATCTCTAAAGCTGACCTAGGCTATTGACTGCTTCTTGATAGTCCAGTTTTCTACATACAGGGAGTTTCTATCTTTGGGGAAGTATTTCAGTCTCAGCCTGAAAGCTGGCCTAGGCTGTTGACTACTTCCTGATATTCCAGTTTTCTATATTCAGGGAGTGTGTTTGTGAAACTATTTCAATATCCCCCTGAAAGCTAACCTAGGTTATTGACTGCTTCCTGATATTCCAGCTTTCTACATGCAGGGAGTTTGTTTCTTTGAGGAACTGTTTTATTCTCAGCCTGAAAGCTGACCTAGACTTTTGACTGCTTCCTGATAGTCCAGCTTTCTCCATGCAGTGAGTTTGTGGGACTATTTCCGTCTCACCCTGAAGGCTGAGTTAGGTGGCAACTTTTTCCTGATGTCTTAGTTTTCTCCATGCGGGGAGTTTGTTTGTGGAACTATTTCAGTCTTGGCCTGAAGGCTGTGCTAGGCTGCTATCTGCTTCCTAGTGCCCAAGGTCTCTACAACCAGGGACTGTCTTTGTCTGGAGAACTATTTCAGTTTCATCCCGTAGGCCGAGCTAGACTGCGTCTTGGTGTCCTAGTTTTCTACATGCAGGGATTTTGCTCGTTTAACTATTTCAATCTGGTCCTGAAGGTTGTGTTAGATTAGTGACGTCTTCCTGATGATCCAGTTTTCTACATGCAGAGAGCTGGTTTATTTATGGGACCATTCCAGTCTTGGCCTGAACAGCTAGGCCCATGACTGTTTCCTGATGTCCTAGTTTTCTCCATGCAGGGAGTTATTTTGTGTTTGGAACCATTTCAGTCTTCACTTTCAGGCTGAGCTAGGCTAGCAGCTGCTTCCTAATACTTCTGTTTTCTATATGCGGGGAGTTTGTTTGAGGAGCTATTTGTATGCAAAACATGCAGTAAAAATGTCAAAACATTGATTGGACTGAATGTATAAGGTGGCTTTAAGTTGCCCTTAATTTAAGGGGATTTCTGCCCAGGTAAGTGCACGTTTGTAGGTCACAGGCCTATGTACACCTCCTAAGGGGTGTACCCTATATGGTGATAAAGGACGCAGGATATCTTTCACCAACACTGTGTCCTTTGTTGTCACACATAAACACACTGTTTTTGTGTCATATTTCCCCTGCCAGAGAGCTCTGTGGAACTCCAAAGTTGGCCCACAATCCCGAGAGACAGTTTGGTGTAGAGGTTAGGAGCGCGGACTCTAATCTGGGAGAACCGGGTTTGATTCCCCATGCCTCCACATGCAGCTGCTGGTGTGACCTTGGGTCAGTCACAAGTTCTCTCAGAGCTGTTCTCTGAACAGCAGCCCTCGAAAGAGCTCTCTCAGCGCCACCTACATCACAGGGGTGTCTGTTGTGGTGAGGGGAAGGAGTTTGTAAGCCACTCTGAGACTCCTTTGGGTAGTCAAGGGCAGGGTATAAATCCAGTCTCCTCCTCCTCCTCCTCCTCTTCTGATTTTGAATTGCCCCTAAACAAAAGTATGATGCTAATATGTTGTATGGGTTTCTCCCCGCAGTGGACTAATGCAGCGGCCTGCTGTTCTTCCGACAAGAGCGGACCTCTTTCAGCCTGAAGAGCCACAGCCGGGTCGTTCTGCAGCATGTCCGAACCACCTTCGCAAACAGCCGCTTCCCTTCCCAAAACGGAGGTGCAGAATCCGTGCGCTCTGCACGCGCCAGAGTCCTCCCCAAGCCAGAGGGAGCCGTCTCGGATCTCCCTCGGAGAAAAGGGAGCGTCAGCCGTCCTTCTCTTTTTCTCTCTGAACCAGGTTGTTGTCGTCGAGGAGAGCCGGATGCAACCGGACGCCCCAATCAGGAAGTGCAGCAGCATCTGCACATCTCTGCGTGAGCGAGCAAACCGTGTTCTAACTTAGCCTGGATTTGCAAGCTAAGCAGAGGCTTGCTTGACCAAGGCTGGGGGATTGAAGGAAGCGGAGGGTGTTCTTGTCTTGTTTTCAAAACCGAGACTTTAAAGACAGAAACGGTCATTGAAATGGGAGGCATCGTCCGAGCCTTGCAAGGAGGGGAGGCAGAGAGAATTCTCTAGGAGTAGGCCGGGAAATCCAGTGACACAGCAGTGAGTCATGGCACTCTGGACGCAATGCTCCCTCTAAGCTGTGCAGCCTTGTGAGCCAAAGTTCTACTTTGTGAGCTTACCGGCCTTAAAAGTTGTGAGCGAGCGATTTGGCGGCTGCATAAATCAGTTTGCTCCGGCGCCGTCCTTTCTGAGCAAAGGCAAAAAAAAACGTGTGAGCCGGAGGCTAAAAAACCTGTGAGCTGGCGCACAGTAACTCAGCTTAGAGGGAACACTGCTCTGGAGACAGCGGCTGCTTCTAATCGAGGCCTTTAACGAGGACCAGAAATTTGGGGTTTTGAATGCATTTGCACGGGGTTTCCTTTTTCTCTTTGCCGTCAAATCTCAGATGACTTGTGACGACCCCTTAGAGTTTTCAAGGCAAGCGGTGAACAGAGGTGTTTCGCCTTTACCTCCCTCTCTGCGTAGCGAGCCCTGGACTTCCGTGGTGGTCTCCCATCCAAATACTGACCAGGGTCCCTCTAAGCTGTGGAGTCCTGTGAGCAAAAATTCTACCTTGCGAGCTACTGGCATTAAAGTTGTGAGCGAGTGATTTGGCTACTGCATGAATTAGTTTGCTCTGGAGCCGTCCTCCCTGAGCTAGGACAAAAATCTGTGAGCCGGAGGCTAAAAAACTGTGAGCTGGCTCACACGAACTCAGCTTAGAAGGGAACACTGGGGTCGACCCTGCTTAGCTTCTGAGAGCTGGTGAGATCGAACTAGGCCAGGCCGTACAGGTCAGAGCAAGACATGCGCAGGGATGGTTTGCCATTGCCTGTCTATTCATAGCAACCCTCGGCTTCCTTAGCGGTCTCCCTTGCGAGTCCTAACCAGGGCCGACTCTGCTTAGCAGGCTGTATCTGACGAGATCGGGCTTGTCTGGGCGTCTGCGCAACCACGATCGGGTGTGCCAGCCGCCTTTTGCGGGGAATGTGAAGACAGGGTGAAGCAGAAGCGGCAAAAAAACTATTTGGAGGCGTGCCAAAGGGATATAGTTGTATTCGTCTGCGGCACTAAGAGGCGCCTGAAAGACCTCCAAGAAATTGATCCCAGGGGTGACAGTTCTGAAGTTCTTAATGCCAGTGACGGGTGAAAAAGAAGCATAGGCTTTCAAAAGGTAAAAGGTAAAGGTCTCCCTTGCTCGAAAGCCAGTCAAGTCCGACTCTAGGGTTGCGGTGCTCATCTCCGTTTCCAAGCCGAAGAGCCAGCGCTGTCCGAAGACGTTTCCGTGGTCATGTGGCTGCGGCATGACTAAACGCCGAGGCGCACGGAACGCTGTTCCCTTCCCACCGAAGGGGTACCTATTTATCTACTTGCAATTTCTTGCTTTCGAACTGCTAAGTAGGCTTTTTAAAAAACCAGCTCAAATCGGGGATTGCGAATGACACCGCCTCCTCCTTTCCTTCCTGATGCTTCCGCATCCAGGAGTTAAAACAGGTTAGAAATGCAAACCCCTTTATAGTGAATTCCGAAAGAAGGGCGGGACTTTGAGAGGCAGCAAAGAGGCCTTGGGAAGTCGACTGAAACATGTTCGGCCGCTCAGGGTACCAGGCTGTTCCGCTGGGAGATTTTAACCGGTTCCAGCAATCCGGCACCTGGCTACATGGATCGCAGAGAGGCCTTTTCTCACCGGGGCACGCATACGACCCGCTGGACCAAGTGCAGACTGGAATAGGTGAGTTCTGGCTTTAGGAAGGCAATGTGCTTTTTGCCTCCAATGTTAGGGGCACGATGAATCCATAAACTCCGTGTCAGGTTTTGGAAGTCTATCCAGGGCGTGTCAGCTTTCTTGCTTTTGTTTCTACTGAATTGTTCCCGAAATTAGCTGATTGGGAGCGCCAGTTTGGTGTAGTGGTTAGGAGCGCAGACTCTAATCTGGGAGAACCAGGTTTGATTCCCCACTCCTCCACGTGCAGCTGCTGGGGTGACCTTGGGTCAGTCACGAGCTCTCTCACAGCCGTTCTTTGTCAAGTGCAGTCCTCGAAAGAGCTCTCTCAGCCCCACCTACCTCACAGGGTGTCTGTTGTGAGGAGGGGAAGGGAAAGGAGGCTGTAAGCCGCTCTGAGACTCTTTCAGGTAGTGAAGGGCGGGGTATAAATCCAACCTCCTCTTCTAATGTGGATTTTAAAACATAATTATGTTCTGCTAGGGAATTAAGATCACAAGGAGAGGCCCTCCTCCCTCGCCCATCAATCAATGATGCTCATGGGTGGACTCCGGAAACAGGGCCTTTTCAGTGGCGGCCCCACGACTATGGAACAAATTCCCCAGGGATGTGTACCCGGGCCCCCTCACTTTCAAACTTTAGGAGGCCGTTGAAGGCGGTTTTATTTAGGACTGCATTTGATTACAGCCGTCCTAAATTGTGTTTTTTTTAAACGTTGGGTTTTTAAAAATGTGTTTTGTTAATATTGTAAGCTGCCTTGAGTTCCGTAGGAGGAAAGGCAGCTGATAGAAATTCTAAGTAAATCAAAATCAAATTAAGATATAAATAAGATAAAGGTATAAATAAGATAAAGATATAAATAAGATAAAGGAGCTGCGGTGGCTCAAGTGGTTAAGACGCTGAACTGCAGGCTGTGGAAGGTCGGTAGTTCAGCAGTTCGAGACCCGGGTGCCGCATGATGGAGTGAGCTCCCATCTCTAGT